TTTAAGCCCAACTGGAGAAGAGGTATGGCAGAAAAGACAGTCGCAGGCATGGGATCAATAACCGGAACATCAAACCCCGAAAGCCCAAGCCGCTTTTTGATTTCTTCAGCACAACCTATAAAACCAGTGCAACCTAGGATAATAGAATGTGCCCCCTTATCTCTCACCAGAGCGAGGGCATGCTCAGCTAACCTATTCGTCATTTCATCGACTTCGCCCTTGATTTCAAGCGATCGCATATCGATGGCATGACAACCGACAAATCTGCCCTCGTGACCGTATGCTTTTACCGAGTCTTTGATTATGGGGATGGAGTCTTTCAAGATAGTGACGACGCCAAATGTATCCGCGAGACTGGCACATATGTTCATTGAAGTCTGTGCTACACCGAGGACTGGGATATCGACCACTTCTCGCAAGGTATGCAAGCCGGGGTCACCGAAACAGTCAATGACTATGGCATCGGCTCCCTTTTGTGCTTCTCGTTGGGCTGCCGCAATCAGGCCGGGAATTGCGAATGCTTTGTCGGTTCGAGATTCGACGGAGATTGGTCCAGTGTTCACATTGACGACTGAGCAGGTGATGCCGTTTTTGCACAGCCCTCCTAATTCCTCGCTTGACAGGTCGACGGGTGTCGATACAGGCTGAATGATCGAGATGCGCATATCGAAGATCACACACAGACCAGCCGGCTTCTGGGTACAATGTTTGAAAATGGGCTTGTTTTCAGGTATATTTGCGGTGCAATTGTGAAGGTTGGCTTCAAAAATGCGTAGTCAATTGTGTTTAAGGTCCCGAGTCTGTATGTGCTTTGACGGGTAAGCGATGGATACCTGACAATCGTTCTCTACTGGAAGTTTCTGAAGGAAAGTGATCTACTCTCGTCTGAGCATACAGAGTGAGCTAGCAGGGCAAAACTCAATCGCATTGAGCGGTGAGAATGGGCGCAGTGTATGCATTGCTGGCGCACAGCACTTGACTATTCGAGGACGGCTCGTATTTTGTGCATGCGCGAATGGATCTGGGCTTCCTATTGCCGTCCTGCACTTGCATTAGTCTTGATTTTCCGAGTACTCAGCATTATTTCTGTACGTCCAACTAGTGAGATCGGAGATGAAATCCTGCACGATAAATTACATAGAGATCTATCTTGCATATCTACCCGAGCGTTGAAGATCGGTGAGCAGTGTAGAACCAAACCCCGAAAAAATCGCCTGGCATGCAGGTAAATTTCTCATAAGATGCCTGGCCATTATTTTCTATCATCTGCAGCTCAGGCCGAAATAACGTAATAGAATCACTTCGTATCTACCAATGAGCAGGGAATTGACCGTTAGATCAGATTTGGATGTTTACGTATGCTGCTGCATAAGATTTCTCAGTAAATGAAGTTCTCACAGCTTGGGACGGCCTAGCAGTTGAACCTCACGAAGCCCCCTACATACAATTGACTGATTGATTGATTGATGCTTTCATGACGTGGCATTTCCACTCCCTTTGGAGGGCTACATACCCCGAAGATCGTAAGAGGTATTGTGGGCTAGTTCCATAGGCATTTGCAATTTGCATCTCGTGTATATAAGGGAGCCTTAAACCCGAGTTAGGACTGGGCTATTGTTCACAATATCTTCAAATCAGTTTGTCCTTCAAGAAGAAACTCCCCCAAAATGACCAAGGAATACGTCGAGCCTGCCAACATCCCTGTCGTTGACTTCAGGGCTCTTACTTCTGAAAATCCTCGGGAGCGTAAAGATGCCCTGAACCAGCTTGATGAAGCCTTCCAAACCTACGGCTTCATCTACCTGTCCAACCACAGCATTGGACAAAAGCTGGTTGATGAAGCTTTTTCTTGGGTACGATCAATACTTAAACATCTAAATCAATAGTCTCTAATGATCCGCAGTCCCAGCGCTTCTTCCATTTACCGAACGAGGTTAAAGAGCTTTGCAAGCACAACACCGTTGCAGCTGATCACCGTGGATGGGCAGCTGTCGGCACTGGCATTGTCAGCCAGGATATCTGGGACCCCAATGAGATTGAGAAACTGCGTAAGACCGCACCTGTTGAGCAGAAGGAGATTCTCGAAATGGGTAATCCTCGCTCTAAGGGCGGCCCAGGCGAGTCGATCGTGAACCGTCTGCTCCCGGAGGACGTTTTCCCGGGATTCAGGGCTTTCCTCGAAAGGTGGTGGGACGCTTGTTTCGAGCAGCAGCTCCAGGTTCTACGAGCCCTCTGCGAGATCCTGGGATACACCGATCTGGACTACCTTGGCAAGCAGCAGGACCCCAGCCGCAGCCGAAACCATATGAGCTGGCTGTACTATCTCTCTCAGCCTGTATCGCCATTAAAGTCGGGCGAGAGCAATCGATTGAACACGCACACCGATTTTACCCAGTTGACCCTGCTCTTCCAAGATATGGTCGGAGGTCTTGAGGTCCATGATTATGAGACGGGGATCTTCCGACCTGTGCTTCCTAAGCCTGGTACCATGATTGTGCATGTCGGTGACATGCTGGAGAAGCAGTCAAACGGCAAGTGGAAGAGTGCTTTGCACCACGTCTCTGCCCCTATGCATCTGAAATATGGGGATGAGACTACGAACGAGGACACCGTTGTTGAGCGTTTCTCCATGTCGTTTTATGGAACTCCTCAACACGATGTGATGATCGAGCCCATTCCAGGATGCGAGACAATTGGAAAGTGGCGCACCTTGGAGTGGGAGCCTAACATGACTGCCGGTGCTTGGATCAAGAAGAGAGTTGCACTTGAATATGGAGATGGACAGGAAGAGCCTCCAGTTGTTCCTGTTGCTTAAATGCGAGCTGCAGGTGCTCGTTTTCTGTTTTATTTTTCTTTTGTTTTTCGGGCTCTTTCTTGTCCTCCGCATGGCTTTCTTACCACAGTCAGATCCAAATAACTCCATATTTAGAGTCAGCTTTCATGAAGTGACAACTGAATAGAGGAACACATTGTCAATAATAAACAATCGAAGGAGTTTGAATCAACTTGTTACTACGCTAAAGAATGTTAAATATATTTCAGTCCTTCCAAGCAGTCCCACATATAATTGACATCTTATACTTCCAACTTTTGATATCTTGCTTGCTATACTCGTTCATAGACTCCTTGCTATCTATAAAGATCGATTCCAGAAGTTCTTGTGTTATAATTTTATTCGCTAATTCAATTCACCATAGCTATCATCTTGGTCGTTTTCCCACTGTCCTGCTTGATACTTAATAGCTACTTAGTTAATTGGCTAGTTACATCTCTCTAGCCTAATAATTTTCTTAATGTAACTAACCAACCAACGAGGGATATGGTTTATCTAATACGCTTCGACAGAAGGTCTTCTATGCCTGATCCTACACCTTAATCACTTTGATCTCTAATTTAGCAGCTCTCTTGTGTGTCATATATCATACTAACTATACTCAATAGAGTTAAATGATATTAAAACTAGATGAAACCTCTAGCTAAAAGAAGCGCTGTATCTCTGTGATATCAAAGGCTTTTACTGATAATAATAGACTCTAAATGAAGCTCTCTAGTAATATCAGTACATAACTTCGCCTATCCGTATTAATTAACTCATACCTTTACATGGATAACACAAGGCACTCATAGATTGTTAACTTATGACAGTGACTCTAATTCTATCCAATTTCACCCCCTTACTGAGCTTGCCTCGTTTCGATCGGCACTTCATGCATACGGAGAACTCCGTATATGGGCCCATGACGCGAGGAAGCTACAGGTGCAAGGAGCATAATAAAATTGACCCAATATATTGATCTTTTATCCAATCTTGGTACAGCACATGTCTTTTTAGCCGATTGAGTTTGATCTCGATTGCAAGTGACCCATGTTCAGTTGCGTTGTCGCGATCTTCCGAAATGTTGTCGGGAGTCACAAGTTGAAAACAAGCAATAAGAACTTTATTTATTACAGCAGGTGGAGAGCTCCTTTTGCTTTACTACCTATGACTAGAAGCCTACTGAAGGTGTCAACTTCAAGGTCAGAGAGATGGGATCCCTGATAGTCAACATGGTGTCAAAATCCAACCCAGTGCGCTTTAGGCATAGATTCTCTGGAAGCAATACCGCTCGCGCATCCGGTAACAGGCTAATATTCTAAGTCAATAGACCCAGAACGCACACACTTATAAGCTTGCAGGTGAATGTGAGATCTGGGATCCTCACATATGGATGGCAGCTGGAAGCCGCGTAAACATGGACACTTGAGCGGAGCACGTACCCGGGATATGCCTCTGGGGCTGGCTGAGTCCGGCGCAGCTTTCTCGGCATGCATACTGCATCTCAATCGGAACTTTCTTAGTTCCTGTGGTGCTCCAATCAAGATTAAATCAGTAACAAACCTAATCGGCTGAATTCGTCCTCTATACACTTGCATTTGCCCTGCTGCTTCCTCGCCTTGCATCGGGACGGCTCAGCCTGGGTGCAACGGGTCGAATATCCGATTTCCAATTCCATTGGTAATGTACAAAGAATTGAGTCAAGCTTGTATTTCAACTAGAATCGTATTTTCAAATATTCATTTGACTGGTATGGACTGACGATGACCTCCATCCGGCACCAATTAATCAAAGTATCCCCTGCAAAAGGACTCCTACAAAAGTTCCCTTAGATGCAGGGAAGATGGAAAGAGATGGAAGACTCATGGGAGCTGAGCAATGACCTCCTGGCTATATTTCCAATTATGAACTTGGAATGCGCGAGATTTGGCATGGAATCTGCAAATTCTGGCAAGTATATGATCCTACTTGTGATACCTGCGTCATTTGACTACCTCCTTTGCATTAGAGGTTTATCCCTTAATTTACTGTTCCAGTATTGTTCAGTTTAACACTATTGGTACATGCGATGTCAGTATGCACGCGAATCGATAAAGGCCGTAAAACATCCCCGGGAATCTGCCGAAATTTTGGGTCATTCCAAATCTGAGTTACATATTCTAGCCCTACGTTTCTCTTCACAGATATGTCTATACCGACCGATATCGCCAACCTACTGATAGGGGAGGATGCTAAGCTTTCAATTCACTTCGATGAAATTCCTCTCTGCAACGACGGACCTCACAGTGGCCCCAGGTTTTACATGCTTTCTACAAATCGTGCCCTGAAAGATCACGAAAAAAAGGAAGACGACCTCCGATACCTGTCTAGGGGCATACAAGGTGCCATTAGGCTAAACCAGCTACTTAATGCCCCCGCTCATATCAACAAAGAAAGAGAAAGCACCGCCCAAGATGAGGGGAAAGCTGTAATGCGGCTTGGGGAAACCACTATGGTTGTCGACGAATCTTTTGATGCGCACCCTATTCACAGCCACATCTGGAACTCATTCATGTCCATTGAATTTAGCTTCCCGAAGGCGGATTTCACGTCTCTGCAATATCTACAAACTTCCTGGAAGGGTCTCGAATCCGGCGATACCCTTTTCACCAAGGAGGGAACCCCAACCTTCGAAGAAGTATCCATCGTTTCTGGTGTTTGTCTCTTCAATGCACGACTGTTAGAAATGAGTACAACGAGTCCGAAAACCGGTGGTGTTGATGTGCATCTGCTCAAGAATTCAATCCCGACATACAATGAACTGGACTATATTGCTCGCGCGTCAAGCGCCATCGCTGACGTGGCGGCCATGAACATCTTTAGGGCTTGCGAGCAGGGCTCTGGACAGCGACTTAACATCAAACTTGACATCCCTAGCTGGCACTACTTCCATGCAGTAGTCACAAAATTGGCGGCAAAGCAATGTTCGAATACTGAAGCATTGCAGTGGATGGACGCAGTTGACCAACGACATGATCAGATCGGTCAAGTCTTCATGGAAGCCATCAAAGATGGGCTTGCGCAACGAGGAATTCGCGACAGCACCAGCTATAATCTTGGCATAACATCCAGGACAAATACCGCTGCGGATTTAATTCGAACAGCAATTGAACAGGAGGGAGAAATCCTTCTATTGGATACCATTCTCGCCGCATTGGACTCTGAAGAAGACGGGTGCTGGAAACGATTCTACGAGATGATCCCGACCAAGGAACGACCCTCGAATCTGGACCAGCTAGGTTATCTGTTCTATGTATATGAGGCCATCCGGCCGGCTCTCGTCGAACGTCCCACCCCGAGACCTCCGGTATCTGACCAAACCAAGAAAGTCAACTTGTCCAAGAAGACATTGAAGAAGCGAAAACCTCGCCGCCTAATCATCAGTGTTGATGACTCGGCGGAAAGACGCATTTACTCTAGAGCGCAAAGGATACTCAGCAAGATTCGACAGTCTAGCGAACTGCCTGAGACTTACTTGGTAGAGTCATACGTTTGTCGCAGGTTCTTGATCAATGGAAACAAAGGCAGAGCGCGACTAGGTCGGTTAGATCCTCTTCCCGATATTCCAGTTCGCACTGGTTCCCCCCAAGAGACTATGCTACCTCTCGATGTGGTGCGGCAGCTCTATGGAGACAATTCTGCCCTTAATTTGCAACGGTGGCTTCAAGAAGTGGGACTTCCAGTTTAGATATTTAGATCAAAAATAGAATTTGTGGTTCAGGACAGTTCTATTGTCATAGGCACTATGTTACGAAAACCAGCGCCTCAAATAAGTAACGAGCATTTCGCCGTACATAATATGATCTGAGCATACTGATTCCGTATTCAAGACATAGTACGTGCCAATGTTATAGCCTACTGTGGATGTTCGCGCCTTCCAATGGTAACTTTTCCAGTGTAGGGCCATTACAGAAACTTCTATTTGGTGTATCAAGAAGAGAAATTATCAAAACTATATGTGTTTATCCAGATTTTATTAGATACAACCCGAGTAAGGTTTGGTATTATTATAGAGCGAACAATCAATTTCTATTTAGTCGAGACTTGAATATAATACCCATGGACTACTTGTGCCTCCATATTTTTCACCCGCCGCTTGTCGACAGCTTCCTGGAGTTCAGCCACTCTGGTGTACTGTCAATGCAGGATGCCAACAGGCGAATTGGTGCCCGAAAGAAGGCAGAAGAAAAACAAGGAAGGGCGGTGACTTGAACAGTCTAAGTATATGACCGATTGGAGCTAAAATACTGACCAGGAAACTATTGATCGTATTCTTAAGCAAATCCCGATGAATCTAACATGCGTCATTAGACATCCATGTAAGGGCAAATGATAAATCATTATTATTATTATTCTATCAGTGTGGCGCACCCACAGCAAAAGCCGAACAAGTGGAGGCAGCAAACTTAAACGTAACTTAATTGACTTAGCACATTTTGGTCCATTATGTTGCTCCCAAAGCATCATAGAGTATATGACTATCCAATAACCTTATCTTTTTAGTGCATTACGGCCGCATATTTCCCTACGACCCGATACACGTAGGGGATATACTTATGTACTCACTCTCTGCATCAAAATAATATTGCGGTTGGGCGGGGGATCCTCCCTGTCCCCGAACTATACTACTACGTTTACACCGTCTTTCAAAAGATTCTCCATGCTCACGTTTCTATGTTGAAGTTAGAAACCAAACATCACACCTGGCACGTGAATTATCCCTCCTTTTTTCCTCTTATTTGGAACTAAATCCGTTAGCTGGTTGTTCAGCCCTCATTCCACAGCAATTTGATACATCTTTTCAAGTCGTTTTACTATCTACCACGGTGGAAAGTCACAATGGTCGGAATCGAAATTGTCGAGCCGGCAGATATTCCTGTGATCGACTTCCAAACTCTTTCAACTGGCACTCCACAAAAACGCAAGACTGCTTTGAAACAACTAGATGATGCCTTCCAATCGGTTGGACTTATACATCTTTCCAACCATAGCATCGGTCAGGATCTCGTAGACGAGGCCTTCGCATGGGTACTGTACTTCTATCTTTGATATCATCTATACATCAGCATTCCCCTTCCATATTCTGACTTCTTACTATAGTCTAAACGCTTCTTTGATTTACCGGATGCCGTGAAGGAACTAGTTCGTCACCCTCACGACGCCCAAGACCACCGTGGCTGGACAGCTGCTGGTACTACCGTCTCAAGTCAAGGGGTTTGGGATCAAGAAGATATCGAGCACATACACAAAACGGGCCCGGTGGAACGGAGGGAAAACTTCGAGACAGGAGATCCCTACCCGAGTAAGATTTCCAATCCTCACTTCATCCGGAATCGAATCCTGCCAGAAGAAATATTTCCCGGCTTTGAAGGCTTTCACGAAGAGGTGGTGGGATGCATGTGTGGAGCAAGAGCTTCAACTCCTCCAGTACCTCTGTGAAATCCTTGAGATTCCGGACAAAGATCTTCTTGGGAAACAGCAGAATCCGCACTTCAATCGCAGTGCAACCGGTTGGAATCATTATCTGTCTGTACCCGCTCAATACCTGACGAGTGGACAGTCCACTCGTCTCAATGCGCATACAGACTATGGGCAGTTGACTTTACTGTTCCAGGATACAACGGGTGGACTTGAGGTTAAGGATGACGAGGCCGGCGTTTTTAGGCCTGTGCTCCCTAGACCCGGTATGGCCATCGTTCAGGTTGCCGATATGTTGGAGAGACAGTCCAATGGGAGATGGAAAAGCGCCTTGCATCGGGTTACGATCCCTCATCACCTGAAGCATAGTGATCCGGGCGATGGTACGTTGATTGAGCGATATTCGATTGGTTTCTTTATTCAGCCTGACTTCGATCTGGTTATAAAACCTCTTCCGGGTTGTGAAGCTAAAGGAAGATGGTCATCACTCGAGTGGGAGGATGAAATTACTGCCGGTGAGTGGCTGACTAGGAGAGTTGCCCTGGAATACCAACAAAAGGGCTCATCCAAGTCCGCAGCATAGTGGGAGCGAAAGTACATGTTTTACTTTTCACATCAATCCCAGTTTAGGGCAACCTAATTGATTGCTTTCTGGTCTGATTAGAGCTATTTTCTGCTTTTTCAAAACTAAATCCCACAAATTTAAAATTCAGTAAAAGCCACATTATACGACAGGAAGATATTTTATTATGGTTATGTCATATAAATTATATATATTAAAAGAGATAGATATTATAGAACTAATTTATTTAGTATTGAGTATTATTAACTGAAGTTTATAATACAGAAAATTAAGATATGAGCAGCTCAGGATATATATAATTAACAACTAATTCTAGCCTGATTAACCTGAGCGCTTACTAACTATTAACTAGTAACAAGAAATACTCAGTGAGCAATCCCCTGAGCATCTTTATTAAAGCGGCCTCATCCTAATAGGGAAAGAAAGTCTCATTGATTCTAAGAATTAAGTCTGTATATAAACATATATATATATATATATATGCATTATATAATCACTATCTACACTGTAAAATACACTCTACTTAGTTTGTCATATTGATATATGTAAGTATTAGATTACAGAATTGGAACAAGTAACTACTACTACTACTACTACTACTACTACTACTACTACTACTACTACTACTACTACTACTACTACTACTACTACTACTAACATAAGTATACTAACATAGTTGGATGCATTCTCCCCCCTGGATATGCAGTCATGGGGAATGATTACTAGCAAGGCAAGACTAGCCAAGGTGCATGCAATTTCTTACCGATGCCATAATGATAGTAAAAGCTAGTAGGTACGTAGCTAGCTACTAATTGGACGAAAAGAAAACGCATTTTTCTCGGATGAAAAGGAAGATGAGAATGATGATGCTATGATTTCAACTCGGATATGTTCGTAGTAGTAGTGGTAGTAGTGTTGCTTTGCTTATAACATAGTGGTATGACTGGACAATAGATTGTTTTTCTGTCCCAAAAAGAGTAAAAAAGCACGAGAGGAAGATGAGAGGGAAAGCAAAATAAGGGTTTCATATAGTAGGGTCCTGTCCCATGGCCCCGGGAATATCATATCACATGCCCAGCACTCAATGGTTTCGTGGATGGTGTTTGTTTTCCTTAGTAGACCTTCTTCTTCTCGTCCATACTCAATTGGCCGGGGCCCATGTTGACCAGGAGGAGAAGACCTCCGCTGTAGTGAGCGCATATTGGTTAGCTGGCGTTTCTTGCGAATGTATCGGAAGGTAGTAAAGGGTAGCTTACACAATGGACAGGATCTGGAAGAAGTCGTACTTGGCGAAGTCCTTGTGAGGGTGGTGGGGGTGAAGCTAAAGTAATGTCAGTTATTGCGCAACATGAAGTCTGCTGTCGCGGGGCAAACATACAGTCCAGAAGTTGTTGACCAGGACGTTGAACACACTCAGCAACACAACCAGCATGATCGCGCTCCACTTGGCCTTGAATCCAACAATGACCATAACACACGCGACGAAGCCGAACAGACTGACGATGATGCGCCAGAGACTCCACTGGCCCGAGAAGACGAATCCGATGAAGAGGAAGATCAACAGCACACGACCAGCGAACTGGACGTACATCTTGCGATCCTTCTCATCGAGCTGGGGAAGACCGGCGGGGACGAACTTCTTGCGCACCCATGAGTCGGAGAGAACCATGAGCAAGCCACCGACGACACTCAGGTTGCGGAGGAAGAAGTTGAGGTCGAAGATCAGTCCGTATCCGAGACCCTGAACAATGACGACAGCCAAGAGACCGCCAACAGCGTACTCCGTGTGTCTACGGGCAATGACCATGAACGAGCAAGCTGCCATTGCGATCATGTTGACGATAAGGAAGGTATGCGTGACTCCCCAGGGAACTGTAATGCGACAAAGCCCAAGTTAGAGTCGATCTGCGATCCGGCCCCACGGCGGGTGCGACCGGATATAGGAGGGACGGGGCCAAAAGCCATGCTTACTCTTCCGGTAATCACGAAGGTACAAGAGTTGGTCGTTCCATTGGGTAATCATGCGTAGACTGTCCTCAATGAAGGTGACGACGATCAGAAAGCGACCAATGGCTGGCAGATACCTGAACAGCAAAGAAGCCACGGTGTCAGTGACAAGTCCTTTTTCCCGCATGCGAGCGATCGAATACGCCTCTTTCAACACGGAGGCTGAACCAGAGTAAGACTCAATGATGTCGAAGGGCTCACATACGGCTTGACAGGGTCGGACATGGTGTCCAGCCAGTCCTCAATTTTGCTCGTCTGTTCGCGGACAGCATCCAGAGGACTGGGATCGCTCGTTGCCTCTACCCGACCAGGACCCCCAAAGGGGTTCTGGTGGCCGAAATTGTAGCCTGCAGTGCCACGGATTTGTGCCATGGCGAGAATAGATAGAGTCGAAGGATAGGAGAGAAAAGCGACCGCGAGAGTGGGAGAGGGACGAATTGAACCCTCCGCAACTAGGCCGAATAAGGGACAACAAACAAGGGTCGAGCGGGTGCCGAGAGAGGTTAGGTGGCAAGCTTAAGGTCTCGTAGCAGGGAGGAGTGGCAGGATGGAAGGCAGAGCAACCGAATTGCCAGGAAATGAAGGGTATAATATAGAGGAAAAGAGGAGGAAGAAGAGAAAGAAGAAGAGCAAGGCTCACGGAAGAGGAGTTGAAGATGGATGATTGCAGCACCTCCGCGGTGATGGAGAGGAAGGCCCGTGACTGCTGTTCAGGCCACGATGACCGGAACTTGACACTAAGCCGGGATAGGCATGGTGCGGTCCCCAGCCCGGGAGGTTCGACCCTGGCCCGTGACGCCATGATCTCCCTTTTAACACTAAAGTACAGTAGTTCCCTCTTCATCTGCTTCTTCACACTGCATCCAAGATCTGATCCCCGGCTCCGCGGGAGATCTCTCCTCATTCTTCACCGAACCCCCCCCCCTCTCCCTCACCTCTTGAAGCTTACAGCTACCTCTAGTTGGCCTCTTCCTTTCACTCTACATTGTTGAGGGCTTACACCCACCCCCGAAATGACCATAACCCATGCAGCGGAGTCCGGTCGGACATAGCCCCCCACAAGTCCCAACAGGGACCGAATTTTAAGTCGTTCGGCGGAGGATCCGGCGTCTGAAACCCGATCATCGTGAAACAGGAACCCTCCAACCTGGCACACTCAACCAGGGCAGAAAGGAGCATAAGACCTAAAAAAAGATTCTGCGAGGATCCTTGCGAATAAAAAGGAGGATTGAATTGTAGTCACCTACATAATTTATGGAGTTTAAGGACAAAACCAAACCCCACAACTACAGCATCAAGAAGCAAAGAAGGTTAAAATAGAAACACATAAGATGCCAGGTGGCCCCCCATAGAAAAAAAAAGAAAAGAAACCATCCACGCTCGCACTGATATCACATCCATAGCCATCCATGCTATTTTCGCCAACACGGTCGCCATGCCGCTCGCGTACTAAAGAGGTATTTCGAAATAGTAGGTAAGACACATCAGGAAAATATTGGCAAATGTTGCCAATTTAGAGGCGACCCAAACTTGCCATCTGTCAGTCCCATAAAAGGAGGGAACCCCAGAGTGTGCATGGGCCGAGTACAGTGCCGGGCTGCAAAAGGGGCATTCCTCCGAGCCAATAAGCATCGTCACAATATTTAAGAGAGAAAAAATCAGGGAAAAGCGAAAAAATAGGGAGAATCCAAGACTAAAATAATAATAAGAATAAGAGCAACCGAGCATAACGATGAAATAATACATGAGATCTCTTTTTTTGTTGGAGAGTTTTGGGTGTTTCTTCGGTCAAGTCGTCGCGTTTCTGCCATTGCTGGATCTCTCGGTCAGAACAGAGCAACTCGCCAGAATACATGGTACGTTCTTGGTATAATGGAGTGCCCCAAACGCCAAAGCCATGAGTAATAAATACAATTCAGGATCTCTGGGTGTCCTGAATGAATTACAGACAAGCATGCCTCTCGGGGCTAGCTTCGTTTTTTGTCTGATCTATGGAGGGTTTAAGCAGCCCAGTCGGAGTCCAGAGGGTGGCCCTTGACATTCGAGCGAAGGACATCGGGAAGGTAGGTGGGCGTCACCTTGACCTTGGGCTGCTCAACAGGGGTGGGAGCGGCAGCAACAGGAGCGGGCTGGCTTTCAGGAGCACTAGCCTCGCTCTCGTCAGTCTTACCTCCCTTCTTCTTGGTCTTCTTGCTGGACACGGTGGTCCACTGGTCCTGGACACCGAGAATGCGCATCTGCTCCTCCTCGGAAGGAAGACCGGAGTCCCATTCCTTCTTGGGGGCAGCCTGAGCGGCGGGAGTCTCAGACTCAAAGGTATCCAACAATTCCACCTTGGGGGCCGGGGCCGCCTTGGGGGTACCGTTGGTGACTGCGGGAGCAGCCTTGGTCTGCCAAGCGTTGGTCGGGGGAGGAGCGGGCTTGATGCCGGCCTCACGGCGTTCAGCTTCGCGAGCCATGTGGAGCTGCTTCTCGAGCAATTTACGTCTCTGCTCCTCAGCCTCCTGGACCTGCTGCTTGCGGGCCTCGTTCTTCAAACGCTGCTGACGCTGCTTCTTGGTCTCAACCTGCTTGAAGGACTGGGGCTTCTGCTTCTTGGTGGCATCCGAGGACACAGCACCGGTGACACGGAGAACCGACGCGCCCGGAGCGGGCTCTTCAAGCATATCCGAAACGTATCCAGCGGAACCAGTAGTGGCGTTCACCATGGGAGAGCCAGCGGGGGAGAGGTCATCGTCGGCGTCGGCTCCGGTAGTGGACGAGGTGCGAGTAGAGACACGAGAGGTAGAGCGCTCGCCGTTCTCAACCTGAGCGGCCTTGGTCTTCTTCTTCTTCTGGGACTTGCTACCACCAGCGCTGGCGCTGCCACTAGACTGCACGGGAGTTCCATTCTTCACGGCGGCAAAACGCTTGGCCATTTCCTTCTTGTCGATCTCCTCATCCGCCTCCTCAGACTTCGAAACAGCAGGCTGGACGGCGGGCTTCTCCTCAACGGGCTTGCTAGGGGCAGGTGTAGGTTCCGGGGACTTCTTGGTCTTGCGCTTAGGCTTCTTTGCGGCCGGCGCAGGCTCCGTCTTCTCCACGACGGGCTTTATAGGGGTCTTGTGCTTGGGGTTTGGGCCATTGTAGTACCAGCCCAGGCCACCTGCCACGACGAGCAGGAGAGCCCAACTGATGTAAGGGTTCATCATCGTTAAGAGCTATGACACGTTATAATTGTCAGTCTGTGTATCACGAAACATTCGGGGAGGTGATGCTGGGCTCAGAACATACATTTGAAATAAAACTTGACGGACGTAGCAAATATCGTTATAATGTCTCAAATATAAAAGACGACTTCAATCACAGACGGAACGTCCTGAAGTGGTCTAAAGGCCAGGCGCGTACCGACACTCGGCGAGATAGGAGAAGAAAAAAGAATAAGGAGATCCAGCAAGGATGTCCAGAAACGAGGAAAAAAAGAAAATACAAGGGAAAAAGAAAAAAAGAAGTATAGAGCAAGCTTCCGCAGATCCTCTTCTTAACCTCTAATCATCGAGTCGTCGAGACACAGAGGGTGGTTGGAAGACAAGGGGAAAAAGGGCAGGCCAGTCGCGCGCAGAAAGGCCAGATTGCCTCGTGGACCTTCTGGATGCTAATACCACTGGAGCTGTAAGTCTAGTCGCGATGAAGCCAGAAGATGAACAAAAGCTACCGCTCTGCAATGCAGTCGATAGCTTGCAGGCAATTGAGTGCGTAGCCTATGACCTCAGAGTCGGGAGTTGGTTCAAAGGTTCCGACTGCGCTCTGCGGCGAAGAAAGGTGGTACTGGTAGCGAGAGTCGGGATGAGGTAAGGGAATAACGGATACCTAGAATCACCGAGCGGGCATCGAGGCACCCGTCAACCAAGGAATCGGGGATTGGGTGACAATAGGTGGGCAAGGGCAAAGGAAGATTAGGAGGAAGGTGAGAAAGAGGGAAGGGTTGAGAGAGAGAGGAGAAAGAGAAGAAGAAAGGAGGAGGGCGGAAGTGGAAGAGGACACGGTCTGGAGAAAGATGAAGGGGTTGTCATGAACTACCTTCTTAGTGTCCGTCCGTGAATAATAAATTACAGCGGGAAGAGGAGGAGACGGTTGATGGCCGTGGTGGTGGTACTGTATCTACGCAGTATTGCAGTCACTGTGAGGCAGTCAGGTCTCGTATTGGTAATACTGGCTGCCTGTTTGACTTGGAGAGTTGATCCACTGCCTGAAGATCAACATCACGATTGATAATGAATCTCTCATTCAGGATCGATGCGATTAACCAACAGGCTTTCCCCGGTAGTATCCTGTCACTGCATAGCTGTTATCCTTTTGATTAAATCAAGTCAGGGGCTGACATGCTTGTGGCGCATTTCAAGATCTAACAAGACACCATCCCCCTCGTATCAACTTGGCTGTAATTGGACTAAGGCGGTCTTTGTGCCTTTTGTCACTCCAAAACAATTATTACACCACAGACAGTGTGCCGTCCGTGAGGCCTCACTGACCATTCACACTAAGGAGAACAGCAAAGGCCAACCATTTTGATATTAATATCAATAAACTAACGGTTATTAGACTCAATGTAGGTGTGTATTCTTGAATTAAATAGGGTGGAGGACACTATCCCAGCAGGGAGATTACGCGGGGGAAGATCTTCCACAACTCTCAAAGCTGGTTCGACCATTGCCATGCTGCAATGTCATGTCTTTTCCCCTGTTCGACGGGCGTCTAGACGAGTCGACGGAAGATTCCGTCCTCGAATGAAAGATTCCATGACCCCGGCAACTAGCTCAAGCGGTAGTTGCTGATAGGTTTGCAAAAAGTCCACCAGGTGGCAGAGCAATCGAATCACCAAACCAAAAGTGTTTAGACTAGCCTGCAAGAACAACTTTGATTTCGGGAGAATCGGCAGTTACCAGTTACACTATGACAGGCACAAGTAACGGGTGTACCTCACAGTAATTTTACGGAGGTAATACCGGCTCCCGAACAGGCCACGTCTCGGGTTTCTCGCTCAGGCCTTCCCCGGAGGTCCTTCCGTTGTGCTCAGAGCAGCTTAATTTGGAGAGAAAGAGTATCTATCATAGAGGACGGGAGATAATAATTACATGTAGCGTATTCTTCTTGGTTCATAATATATATTATATTATTGAATAATGCAGATTTATAGATCATATAGAATAGATCAGAAGCAGGAGCATTAAGGCATACTAACATCCAACGCTCTAGACCCGTTGCAGAGTAACCATGAGGCCCATTGAAAATGTAACCCCAAACAAAGCCATTTGATTAAAAGACACGGTAGAGCGAATGATTGGCTGTCACAGTCTAGGATATCGATGTGCTGTGATAATAGTTACACACGCATAGTGCCTGCTGACATCAATGCTGGGAGGGCAGATGATCCGAGCTCGCTACGAACTCCTGAATCTGTTCCAATGTCCGACCCTCTCTCGGAGAAGAGAAGCTCTAAAGAAGACTGGCTTGATGCTGCTAGCCCTGTAGGTATTCATGCAACTCCCCATGCTTCGGGGATAATAACTTCGACCGACGTGCATCCTCATGTCTATTGTGAGAACTAGTCATATACTCTTACCCCAAGTCAGCTTCACAGTATGGCAGAGCAATGCAGGAAGCGTTTAATTCTTTCGATCGCTCAGTATGTAGTTTAGATAGTCAACTATCTAGATAGCTACTAGTAGTTATCTTGGACTGTCGGCATGACTAATAGCATATCCGTCCGTGAGTCTACTTAGTAGTATTCAGTTGCTGCTCGGGGACTCGGACAGATAGCTGGAAGTGGAGCAACCATGATAACGCCGGCCAAGACCATCCCACTTTCCCCTCCATCGCCCGAAACCCGCGTCATTGCAAATTCTCCTGCAAAAACCAACTCGGTTTGTACCACAAAAACAATATACTTTGATTGGATAGTGGCAAATTCGGCACGCGAGCTGAAGCTGTAGCAATGGCACCGAAAAAGATCATCATCGATACTGATCCCGTATGTTCATCACTTCGTTCAATGATCACCATCCGAGCTCCACTTCTGCTTCAGAATGTTTGCTAGTTACAACCTGTGCTGATAGTCCAAACAGGGTATTGATGACATTCTTGCCCTTCTTTTGGCATTTTCTGCCGAGCCTGAGGATGTTGAGGTTCTGCTAATATCGCTTACTTTTGGTAACATCGAGGTGAAAAGGTGAGCTTGCGCCGTCCGTCGCTCGATAGTACGGCCCTATACTCACTCAGATAGCTGCCTGCGCAATGTTGTCTCCATGTTCCACATCCTGGAGCGGGAGATGAAATGGCGTCGAGAGCAAGGTCGGCCAGAAGGTTTTGGTACTCTTCGCGCTGCTCCTCCAATCGTTGCTGTGGGTGCAGAGGATCCTTTGGAGGACCAAAAGATGCTTGCAGATTACTTCCGTGAGTTTCGCAAATGGCAAGTCTTGCTAATCAAGCCCGCCATGCTAACCCTTCTCTAGACGGTACGGATGGCTTGGGGGGTATTCATGCCAGTGTACGTGAAGCATGCAGAACTACAAACTACAAAACTTGCAAGATTGCTAACACACGAACTCTCAGCATCCCCACCTCACCCCCAAAGAAGCTTGGGAGCATCTCTTCGACCCTTCCTCTGATTCCCGCGAGATCAAACCCGTCCCGGAGGGAGATCCGGCGCATCGCTCATTCATTCCTTCCAGGCGTCCCGCACACGAGGAGATTCTCCGTGTCTTGAGGGAAAATGACCCTGACACCGTCACCCTCGTGGCAGTCGGTCCCCTTACTAATCTTGCATTGGCATCTGCTGCTGACCCGGAAACTTTCCTCCGCGTCAAAGAGGTAGTGGTGATGGGAGGAGCAATCAACAAACCTGGAAACGTGCGCGTTGGCCTGAACCCTACCCCGTTTGGGGATGAAAAGAGTCATGGGATACTGACATCTTCTAGGTTACCCCAGCTGCAGAGTTCAACACATACGCTGACGCTGTTGCGGCAGCAAGAGTCTATGCTCTCACGTCCCCTTCTCCCAGAAGTACTCTGCCGCCCGCAACGAGTCTCCCCGAATATCCTCCGAGCCTTAGCAAACAGCTCACTCTTCGCACATTTCCCCTCGATATTACGCTGAGACATGGTGTGACGCAAGGCCAGTTCCGGCAAATAATCACGCCGCTTCTGGAGAGTGGATCGCCTTTGGCTGAATGGGTGTCTGCCTTTATGGCTCATACCTTCCGTACACTTGAGAGACTGCATCCGGGGCACGTGGGCGATGCCGCGGACCTTAGTCTGCACGACCCCGTATGTGTCTGGTATGCTATGACCGCAGAAGATGACGGGTGGAAACCTTCAGCGACGTCACCAGAAGACATTCGCATTGAGACTACTGGTCAGTGGACGCGGGGCTTGTGCGTTGTCGACCGACGGAACCGGCACCGCATCGAGGCCGATGAGGAGAGCGCAAGTGATCACGGCCTGTGGTTAAGCCTGAGGGCTGGTAACCGCGTGTGGAGAATGGATGGCTCTCCGGTGGAAGACACCTTTGGTGAGGTGCTTCTTCAGAGACTGTTCACTTGAGGTAGTGCCGAGTAGACTAGGACTGCACCACCCAGCCACCACTGGGGTGCATTGTGAATAGGCAATCTGTCAGCTTCCGGTCCCGTCAATGTCCGATTACTATCATATCAGTCAAGCGGAAATATATCCTGTTACTAGCATTAGTCTGTTGGAATTCAAAGCTGTTGGGGTGTAAGCCAACGTGACGGACTGTCCTGTCTGGTACCAGCCAGTACGCACCAGGATATTCCAGAGTTAACTATTCACTCCACGTGTGATCAAAGTATCTCCACGTATACCAGTAGCTAGCCAAGAAACAACCGCGTAGTGGGGTGTTACCTCAGCTGTTGCACCAAGCGGCCGTCTAATCGTACTAAACCGCTTCGGATCATCCCATTTCAATTACGAAGCAGCACACAAGTCGAGGGGAGAAATATGCGGCACGGAGAGCATCGCATTGTCCGATAGATACGATTGGCCAGAGCCAATCGAATAGCAACAGAGAGCATTGGCTTACCGTGACAAGCGACAGTCCATGCAGAAACTACAGGTGCATTGCGGGGCATGTGCTTCCGTGTGGTAGTTCTGCCCCGCTATTGGGATTTGAGAATTTGCAAGAGGTAATTAAAGGGATGCGTGGGCGACAACGATGGTGAATGAGCTGGCATGGCGACCAATGGAGTAGACGGCAAGGTTGGTAACAATGGAGTAACTGGGGCGTGTCTCGGGCGCTTGGCCTAGCTGAGCATAACGAGTATGATGCGGAGAGTTCCCGGGCAGCAGAGAGGACCTGTCTGTCCGAATACCAAAGGGGAAAGGACCAGAGAGAGGCCGACATGCACATGCGACCCCGTGTGGCAGGAGGGTCCACTGGTTGGGAGGACGGCTTGCACGTGCTCCAATGCCCCCTCTGGACGAGAACGTCGCCAGGCTTCGACAAGCGGCCGAGGTGAGATCATGACCATTTGAGTCCCGAGACGTATTCTCAGGCTTTGCGGGTCTGGGATGTTAGACAGATCCACTTTATGGACACCTTCGATTCCTGACGATAGTGAGTGAAGTCGATGAGGATGCATGGTGTGAATGGTATTTCCCTTTGCCCACTTCCCCTCGCTTCACCTGCCTGGGTTCTGTCACACTGAGGAACCCGAGCATTGCTTGAAGATTGAGAGATATTTCGGGAAGTTATGAGACTGGTATCAATCGAAAAGGATCCGGGGTCAGCCCGGTGGCGACGCAAGCCTCTGCGCTCTTTAACGGCACCAATTAGCGTGTCGTGTACGTGAGCGTGGTCCATTCCGCAATTTTATCTAGATTGTAGTCAGGCTCAAAGGAGTAGGGGATCTGAACCCCATCTTTAGTAAATCGGCAAGCGCAGGTCGGAATTGGGAGCAGCTTGGTATCTAGTAGTACCTAGGAGGTATCACTCCGGCACCCGTGGCTTGTGGGGATTTCCGAATTCATGAAGAAGGGGGGCATAGTAGTAGTAGTATGCATTTAGACTAGATAGACCACAAAGTGAGTAGTCCACAGTAGACTTGTTAGGAGGAGTACCTTGAGTTAGGTACCTGGTAGTATGGGAAGAGAGGACTCGAAAAGTAAGGGACATGAGCCGGCAGCTTCGTACAACCCATAAGAACTCTGGACCGAAGCACGAGCCCCAAAAGCGTCGGCGGTTTGGCCCCAGGCAACCGGTCTCGTGCCCCCCATCCGGCGGTGCTGTTGGGCCAATGACGGGCCAGCAATCTACCGCGTGGGCTTCTTTAAGCACGCGACACTTGGAATGGCCCTCCGCTTCGGGATGGCCAGTCCCAGGCCCATCCACGGTTATACTACTACTTACTCCTAGTACTAGGTCTCAACTCTACTAAGGTGGTAGTGAAAGAGGTGTATGCGCATGCTGGCTGCAGCAAGCAGCAACTACTAGATAGGTAATGAGCAAGCTTCCCGAAAATCCAGAATTCAACGCCAATCCCCCCCCTCTCCCTCGTCGATCATGCCGATTAGAATTTGTGAGAAAGTAACCACTACTTTTAGTCACTACACCGTAGAAGTACCTGTTTCTTATCGCAATCCCACTTTCCCCCGACCTATTACCTCCGGTCTACTATTGCCTCGTTGTGTCGCCTCTCCCCTCCCTAACCATTCATATAAACTTAACCCAGGTACCAACACTTTGGCAGGGCGTTTATCCGTGCGTCTTCCTTTGTGCAGGAGCCCCAACTCTCCAGCACCAGCTGTTCACTTCTGGTCATATTGCTTTTTCCTAGATTCAATAACCATTTCTGCTTCTTGCCCGTCCAACTGCCTCTTCCCTTTGCCTCTCCTCTCTTCCTCTCTTGTCCTATCCTATCCCACTTCCCCTATCTTCTTCATCTTTGACGGCTTACGATTGTACGACACTCAACGGGTTGTTATCCAACTTTGCTCTACCATTGGTCCAATCTTACTTTTTTGACTTGACCATCCACCCTATTAGCCCGTCTAATGGAAGAGTAATCATCGGGTTGACTTTGAGCGTTTCACTTCCACAAAGGCCATGTCACGCTCTCGTCTACCACCAACCCCTGCCATGTCGGGGGAGTTCATAGTCAAGGACAATGCATCGGTGGACGCTTCAGATCCATTCGCATTGCCTCCAGCTGCCATTAGTCCATCCAAGATGCAAGCTGCTAGCAGAAGGCCATCCAAATCAAATCCATCCGCTTCCTTTCCAGCGTCTCCAGCATCGCCGAATCCTGCACTGGGTATCATGGCAAATTCCCCGCGTCAGACGGGTGTCAAGAGACCTCTCGAAGACTTTAACCTTCCACCACCCCCCACACGCACTCGCAAAATCATTCAGATGAAGCCCAAGACGCAAAGTCCGCCAAAGCCGACCGCAGCAGCCAGCAAAGCATCCACAAAAGAGAATGGCAAAACGCCAGCAAATAATGGTGCCTCGACCAATTCCAAGAAGAAACAACCCAGCGCAACTAGTGCAGCGGGCCGAAAGATAGCTAGGAAGACAGCTCACAGTTTGATCGAACGGAGGCGGAGGTCTAAAATGAATGAAGAATTTGGAACCCTGAAAGACATGATCCCGGCGTGCAAAGGACAGGACATGCACAAACTCGCCATTTTACAGGTTTGTCTCAACCTCAGTCTTCGACGACCCCTGTCCTTAAGCCGGTCGCTAACCGTACCCGATGACCTAGGCAAGTATTGATTACGTCAATTACCTGGAACAATGCATACTCGATCTGAAAACTGCCGGTAATCGACACACAATTGCCTCGCCGCGAATGCCTCCTGCCCCTCCTTCACCAACGTCTCCGGAGGCTCTGGCAGAAGAGTCGGGCCTTTCATCGGCTTCCATGTCTCCGGAACTACCTCCCACCGATGCTGCCACGGATGCAATCTCCCCGGCGTTTTCTCCCCGAAGTGGTGGTCCTACCGGGAATGCACCCAATTTTTCGTCCATCACACCAAGCCCGGCACTGGGCCCAACCCACCCATCCGACAATCCGTCGCGTTCTGAGCGTGGCTCCTGGGCTATGTCTTCTTCCAGCACCTCCCCAGTGATCCAGCCTAGGTATTCCATAGCGTCTTCCGCCGATGTGGATCACGAAGCCTCCGCTGCCCTACTAATGCTGAACCGGGACTGCCGGGGATCTGTCGGCTCGGTCCACGACGTGCCCACCAATTCCACTACCCGGCATGAGAATCCCCACACCCAGGACCCACAAAGGAAGATCGGGATGAGCGTTAAAGACTTGCTTATCTCCTAGGGGTCATGGTGGCCGGCTCTCTCTTTCCACCTTTTTCACAGTCACTCATGATGTCTCCTTTGTAAGGTACGGGGATCAATTGGCGTGCGGAATTTTGATATCATGAACGAGTAATGAACGGTTTGGCCCGGTGCTGTTGGTTTTTGCTTTTCGTTCTTATTCTGGGCACTTCAGGTCATCGTTTCAGGTAGGCAGGCTGGTCCAATGTGAGTTAACGGTTAGGATTATGCTTTGAGCGCGGACTTTGGTTTTAAAATAATCCCATTTTGATTTGTCTTGCAATGTATCTTGGGAGGATTGTCTGCAAGTCTGCCATGTCAGATAGAATTTAGAAGAGCCTAGTATCGTTCACAGAACTCATGAATACTTTTACCAGAAGATCACGCGCTGAGGGTATCAACTGAGCCTATAACAGCATTCCAACCCACATTCCCACTTAATCACATGAGAAACTCCTGACCAAAGCCATGGAAGACAACAATGCGACGCCAAACGCTGTCTCCTCCTCCCCGCCTATACGGTCGTCCTAATAAAGTTTAACCTACTTCCCCATGACAGTCCATCTGCTTACTACACCCACAGCTCCTATCCACGACGACACTTGAAGCCCAGACCAGCCAAGCACGAGCCAAGCAACAATGTCGTACTTTTTTCTTACTTCCCCTCTCTCACGGCCGACTTTCATGATAGAAAGTCAATCAGCGCGACGATCCCAGGTCTCGACTTTGTATCTAGCGCACCATCTAGAATCCTAATCCTTCACAATCATTTAACCAACATTACTTAACAGCATTTGCTATAGAAAAGAGAATGCGGTAGTGGCAATGGCAATTCCGACGATTTAGTCCAAAAATGTGCCGCATATCCGACATCTCCACCAAAGACCGATGGGATGTGTACTTTACGTACGGCCATTTCTCGGCTTTTTCCTAAACTGGATGGATGCGTGTAGTAGTTTTGTGTCTAGATGCGGCTACCGATGTTAGGTTCTTACCCCGCACGCAACTGGAGGTTCGGCTTCTTTGGTGCTTCTAGGCGCATTCCATCTACCACCTTGGTTGATTCTCTTTTGGGTGCTGGGAATTGCTGGAATGTGGTGGTGGTGGTGGTGCAGAGAGCAGTTTAGTAGGACGAGGCGATTGGTGTGATGGTGAAGATGATCATGGTTGAAGAATATCTGTATTTGCTTTTTATGATTTTCAGCCTGTTGAGATGTCATCCACATCATAGCAACAACTAACTTCCTACAAAGAGAGAAGGGGAATAGATACTCCGCGGAATCGCATCAAAGCTTTCGCTTCGCTTCTGCTCACTAGTGGACGCGAGCCTCTTCCCACTCCCCGCTTTCCTGGAAGGGGAGGGGCGCCCGTTCCACTACACAAGCATTTGGAGGCGATGTAGTTCAAGCAGACTCGCTTTTTGCCAAGCCCCAAGACATGCATGAATCCTGAAGGATTTTCTGGTGCGGAGTAGTAGATAATATCTAGGGGTAAAAGGGAGGGGAGAGAGGGTAGTAGTAGTATTCATCAACAGCAATCTGTGAGGCAGTCAATGACAGCGGAATATTATGTGCATGGCATGGTACATGAAAACAACAAAAAGTGAAGCAGCTAGTGTAGGTACGGCACATTTTCACAGATAGGCACTACTGTTCTTCTTTGGGGGCGGAGCTCATACACGTAGTAGGGATGTTCGCACTGCCTCTATGGCCAAGATGAAAGGCAATGCAGACTAACCCTTGGCTCTGTGGATGTGCTTGGGTTTTAGGGCGCGATGTGGGAGAAGATCTACAAGTGGCAGATCCACCCTCCACTTTTGGGTGGGATACACTTGGTCGGGTGAAAACTAGCCAAGTTTTCTTATGACGTTGCTCGGGCTAACTTTTTGGCTTTCTCTTTCTTTTGGCGGTGTCTTTGCAAAGGAACTGGGTGGAGTATAACAATAGTGTGAGATTTCATTTGGGCTGATTTTCAATCTGCCTGAGGAGTTGTAGATCATTGCAGTGGCGCTCTCCCGGAGTCTCTGGAAAATCCCGTGAGGACTATCGTTCGAGGCGAGACGAAAAGAAAAGGGCAAAAAAGGCAGCCCTCATTCACGTTCAGACAGGCTCAGACTAGTGCAAGTTAGTGCACTCCACGGGTGCCCCCGCACTGCGGTGCCGCGCTATCCACGTCTGCCCCGGTGACCCTTTCCCGTGGGCCTTCATAGTACTAGTAAGTAGGGCTGCAAACTATATATTCCCTCATTACGCCACAGCCTCTTCTCCCCTTCCCATTCCTGCCCCTCCTCGCACACTCACGCACCACCCGTCATTTGATGGCACCAACAGTACTATCACCCCTCGGCGGCTTTGAAATCTTACCATGTCCAACAAGTTTCGTTCCTTGCAGCGCAAGAAAAACGCCCGGTCCATCGTCTCTGAGGATCCATGGAAAGTCGACACGCCTTTCGGACCGCCCCGAATCCCACATTTTCCAGGTCGAGGCATGCGACGCCTTCGCAGTACTCTCAAGAAACTGTCGCCGTCTGCACGTGCTGAGCGAGAACTCCTCAGGCAAAAGAACCGGTACAAGATCCCCTTGACTGAGAGGAATGTCGATGCTCTGGTCACGGAGCAGCTGTTCACCGATGCTTGTTTTCCCGACAAACATAGCAGAGAGTTGCAGATCTCTGCATGGCTTGAGCGACTGTCCTACTGAGACGCGCCATCCTTACGTACCTCCTCCTCTTCCTGCAACTCCTTCTGCGGGGAATACCATCGAACACCGACGCTTCCTTGCGCACTTACCCTCCCGCATCTTCTCACATGCTTGAATGAATACTCTGGGAATCAGCTTCAAGGGATCTAGTTTGTGAAGACTTGTTCAGTCGACTGTCTCAGCACTCTGTCCGACCGGTACATGTGGAAATAGTTGTTCACTCGGCTTGAGGGTTTGTGCTTGGCATAACGGTTGATCCACTCGACGACGCAGCCATGCATGCAGGTGTCGGCGCTAGAGGCGAGACACTTGGCCATAGTAAGCGTGCGTTTTGCTTCCTCTTCTAAAGCAAAATAAGAAACCATGTTTCAACAAGCAACGCCCGGGTGGTCTAGTGGTATGATTCTCGCTTAGGGATACAAACCCAAGCATATCTGCGAGAGGTCCCGCGTTCGATCCGCGGCTCGGGCCGTTTCACTTTTTGTTTTTCTCGCTTGACTCCTTTGCTATGATCATGATGAGGATGATTGATTGAATTCTATTCTTTTGCTTCAGCAGTTCTATTCGAGGGAGCCCTTTTTTTGCGGATCTACGGTTTAATGGGTGGCTGATTGTTGCTAGGGTTTGTCTGTATAGCATGGTGCTTGGGGTGATGGAGTGCTTTTTCTAGAGGTGTCATTCCGTTTGTTGCTAGAATGTTATAATAGTCTTGGTTGTTTTCCTTGTCAGGTGGCTGATATTACTATACGAGGCTTGTGCACTGGAATTACCACTAATTTAATGATGCGTCCACTACTGCACGAGCATACATTAAGGTCCCATGCTAGTTAGTATGCATATCTATAAGCATCACAATGTTACCAGAACATATATATCGCCGACAAATCAACTCACAACTTATCCACTGCCACATAATAAAATATACTAATAAACAGTACCAACAACTACAGTTGCGTCTCCATGCCCCTGCATCCCCCAACGCTAGTAATAGCGAACAGGGGTTCATTCCCCAGCCGCGCGGTGATAAGATGAGGGGTAAACTAGTAGCTAAGCAGCTGAGGGGAAAGAAAGAAAGGGAACAACTAACCGCCCAGCTCAACAACAACTCCACACCATCATTCTTCCTACATTGCACCACCAAGTCTTGGACCAAGACAACCAGCTGTATATATAATGGTCCAACCCAAAAAAGTCGCCATCATCGGCAAGTTGTACACCCCGCCACCCAACCTAAAGCCATCTACTAACATCCCACTACAGGCGCCGGCCCCTCGGGACTAGTAACAGCCAAAACCCTCCTACACAGCTTCCCCGAGGGCACCTTCATTCCCAGCGTCTTCGAGAAAAACAGCCGAATTGGTGGTCTCTGGCCCACAGCGATTGACCATGGCGCTGAGCGACGGCTGAACCCATGGATTCGGACAAACTTGAGTCGGTTCACGGTGGCTTTCTCAGATCTGGCCTGGGAGTCTGTCATTGGGGAGGAAGAGCTGTCGATGTTCCCGCAGGCAAGACAGGTAGGGCAGTATCTGGAAAAATATGCGAATTTGTATATTCCCAAGGGGGTTTTGAGGCTTGGTAAGGAGGTTGTCAGGACGGTTCGGGAGACGGATGGGTTGAGGGCGAGGTGGACGGTGCAGTGGACTTCGAGAAGGTGTGTCTTTTACTCATCGTTCATACGATGCTACTGGCTAATGGCTTACAGCATAGATGCAAATGGCATTGAATGCGACGGACCTGAGGTGGAATCGGAAGAGTTCGACTATCTGGTCGTCACGTCTGGATACTTTGCCAAAGCTCACTTCCCGGATATACCTGGTCTGGCTGGGGTCGCTGATAGGGTTGTTCACAGCTCTGAAGTGCAGACTATAGACGAAGTGCAGCGGCTGCTGGAGAGGACTGGGTCCTCGGGTGGGAAGCTGGTCGTTATTGGGGGCAGTATGTCGGGAGTAGAAGCTGCTTCGACAGTGGCGCTTCATCTATCTACGATGGACTACAAACCCCCGGTGATCCAATCTGGACGAGACTACGAAGTCCATCACATCTCCTCGAGGCCCTTCTGGACGATACCCACTCACCTTCCCCATGATGGCTTCCAGGATAATACCAAGACGCAAAACATGCAATTCCTTCCCCTTGACCTCGTCTTCTACGATCTTGCTCGACGCCCTCCCGGCGAAGTCGAGTACGGGCTCGGACCCCTCTCCACAGACCGCATACACAAGACAAACGCATACTTCCGCTCCCTTCTCGGCGGCGAGTACGCAAAAATCGGCAGCTTCGGAATCCCCAGCAGCAAGA